GTAATTTTTTTTTTTCATACAACCAAACTATTTTGAATCTCGCGAAAGTGACAGAAATAGTAAGAGTGGGTCTGTAAGAACGGAAGAAGAAGAAAGAAATATCTGAAAACGGAAGCGAAATGCAGAAAACAAAATGTGAAAGGCTCTCAGCACGTCAGTAGAGAACTGTCTGGAAGCACGATATGGTGTCTCCTTCCATGTCTCACTACTGTGAACATACGAATACGATGTTGGTTCGATTTTCAGCCACTACGATTGCTAACCTGGATCCGTTAGCCAACTTCCGTTAATAAATCCCTCATAAATACTTACTTTTCACCGAAACACACACCGATAAACGTTTCGACTCCATTTTTGTTCTACTCACAGCTTCTTAGTTAAACATTTATTCTCACTGCTTACCCTACAATTCGACTTAACAATCTCGATCGGTTAGTAACCTAAAAGTAGGAGCCAGTATTGTGCTAGGATATCACGATCCCCAGTCGGACGTACGCACTAGCTCGATCAGCTACAGGAAAACAGCTTTGAAACCACGAACAGAATGGAAGGAGTGCTTGGGTTCAAATGGCGTGTGAAGACGTATCACCTGAGTGCTTGCGTATTTTCTTAGCCGTAAAATTTCACCAACAGTATAAGGCGGATAGGCCGACATACTTCCTTGGTCCCCGCGCAAGATGTGTTCTCAACAGAACGAAATTAGATATATTTCCCAAAAAAAGTGCGAAACTATTCAGCCAATAATTTTACATGGAAGTATATTTTGATTATGGAGATGGTCCAATCGATAACTCATCGTACGAAAAATGGAGTTTAAACCATCCGCAAAGCATAATATTACGAATAATGCCAACTTCTTATCTACTGCATATTACAATTCTTCACGGCGCCAAACGAAGAACACGCATGGCGTGGTGGTGAAGGCGTTAGTCCACGGTAAGGGTACTAGCACGTTCGTTCTCCGCCGCACACGCCTGATGTTCTGAGTTTCTACAAATATCTCAGCACCATCGTGATTACAAATAATTTCTATAAAGTAAAACCATGAGATCTTTTGAAACGATTTACTGATTAAAGAAAAACATCGAAAAATAAGAGTGAAGTGCAAAAGTACAATGTTTGAACAGCTCTGCGAGTTTGTTCTGATACTTCTCTAATGCTTTAGGAAACGCAAGAGTAGTCGTGAAGATGCTGGTAAACAGCGATTAATCTAGGCAGTAAAAGCAATCTACTTGTGCCAAAGGAGTCACGGGTGCCAACAAAGGGGCGGAGATCAAGTCACTAACAAAATTAGACAATAATACAAATGCATATAAAAAAGCCATAAGCAAGTGAAGTCAGTACAGCACAATTATGCTAAGGATGAGTTCTTTCGCAAAAGGCGAGAACGATTTTCAGTTGAACTAAGAAAAACCTAATTTATTCTGATCTGCACAGATGAAAAAAGAACAATTTTAAAACAAGAACCACGGAACCCTGCTTTATTAAGTCCGGTAACTAAACCCTTTTCGCCAAACTCGTTATCACTCCATGCGAACTTTGACAAAATTCTTTCAGTGAATAAAAACCGGCAAGGTTTTCGTCGTTAATCAATCCCTCAGAGATGCGTCATTAATTCGACCTCATTAGGCATCGTGACAGGTGTTCAGATGTATATGTGGCCTATAGACTACCATACGGTAGCCTACCGATGTATAACATCATTGCCACTGCTGCTGTGCTCCCACATAGGTCTGGTACCAATACGTGCACTCCGGAAGGATGGAGTGCTTGATGGGCCGTGGTGCAGAGTCGAAACAAGGACCAGGTGTGTCTTGTTGACCACGTCTGACCACTGCACTATACATTCCCTCCCTCTTTTAATGTAATCTTTCGTTAATTATATGTCGTAAACAATAGTTGAAGAAAAAGAAGTGAGGTGTTGAAAGTAATGACGGAACGGCGCATTCATTCCAATGCGTAATAGAATTGTTCCAATTCCGTAGAATCAACATACTTTAGAATGACCGATGACCAAATAGCACCAATTAGCCGTTGAATGACCAGATTTCTGAAAGACGCGTTGTCATTTGACATTACCGTAACCGACATTTTCAATCCATTGACTCGACACATAACCACTCTAGCATCCTTACGGTTCGAAGGCAAAGTCTGATACTATTACGACCACAGCTATATCACAAACGAACAAATCACACAAAATTCAATTACGCATAAGCTATGAAATAAGTGGATAAGCGGATGTTGGACTAGTTCAAATGGCGCGCTCAACTCAGCCTAGCATGAAAACAACAGTGCATCGGGAGCACGGGATGTCTAAACAGTCGTCGCTTTGTGACCAAAATCGTAACAATCAGACATATTGGTCATGTTTAACATGTTCAGGCATTTTACACCATAATGTACTCGAACGTAGAGCTACACAGAGAATAAGGAGAAGAAAAACTCTTCCTGAAAACCACTAACTTATCCCAGGGACACTGTATTCGCGATCAATAAAATGTTAACATGGCAGATGAAATGAAGCCGAATTCCATTGACATAACAACGAGTGACTAAAACAACTATTTCCTTCCCCGAATTCTCAGTAAAATCAAAACTACTCCCTTGACAAAATATGGACATGGCATCAAATATACTAGTTTTTGGTTTTGCCCATAGAAAAGACGGCATACAGGCTCGCCCTTTAGCCGTTGTCTACAAGACGAATCTCACCGACCCAAGCACATTTTCCACTCAATGTAGATACTGTTGCTCCGAAAGTTCCTTTCCTTGAAGTCCCATAAAACTCGTACCAGTGCGCTNCGAATTCTCAGTAAAATCAAAACTACTCCCTTGACAAAATATGGACATGGCATCAAATATACTAGTTTTTGGTTTTGCCCATAGAAAAGACGGCATACAGGCTCGCCCTTTAGCCGTTGTCTACAAGACGAATCTCACCGACCCAAGCACATTTTCCACTTAATGTAGATACTGTTGCTCCGAAAGTTCCTTTCCTTGAAGTCCCATAAAACTCGTACCAGTGCGCTTTCACACAGTCATACAGGAAGTCGCCAGCATTTTTGCAACGGAAGGAGGTTTACCACGTTGCGACTAGCTTTCTTCCAAAACAACTGTGACTCCTGGCATAGTTTTATTCTTAGCTGGGCTTCCAGATGACTGTTTCAAATTGGGAAAATAAAATTTAAAATTCTTTCAGAACAAAGAAGTCTGCGGCTAAAGAAACGATTTATCAAACGACACTGCATACGAACAATTAATGAGAAAACAATGAGTGGAACAATAGGTTAACGAAATACAGAGGACTTAAATCCAAATATCAAGAAATTACTCCAGTGCTATCTCTGCAAGAGTCATGAATAACACTTTTTAGTCCATCCTTCCCTTCAGTGTACTAATGTTAACCTGAAAAATTCTAATATCTGATTTTTCAAGAGGAAAAATCCATTAAAGCTACTGAACGTCTTCTCAGAACTGCAAAAATGTAGGAAAACAACTATGGAAGCCAATTATTTGCATTGCTGCTGCAAATAACAAGCAATATCCTGCTTTCTAGAATTATCCATTCAAAGATAAAGGGAAAAACTGCTTTTCTTAACGTTTTTAAAATCAGCGTCCAATAAACATTAAGCACAACAGAACTGATTAGAAAATAATGGCTAATTTGAACTCTAAACTGACATACTTCAGTTTATATTCAACTTTACTGATAGTAGCACAATAAATTAGAACCTACAGATATTTGCCTATAAAAAACACTTCCTCTATTCTATCAAGAAGAAACAACTTATTTTATCTCATGAAACCATGACACCTTTTTCCCTTTTTAGACGAAGGGTTATATTAGTATCATGAACGAAATTTTACAAACAGAATTCCGCCCAGCAAGACACGATGGTGCTCTCAAATCTATTGCTAGCGCTTACTTTTGCATCACCTGGAATGAAAACCTCGGCAGGTTAAAGTTTGTTGCCAACTTTTTGAAAATTCCAACCATAAAAAACATTTGAAATTAAAACGACCTTCTACAAAACACCATAGAACAGGTAGCACAGTGGTAGCAATGCCATTCAATACGCTAAGGATCGAACGCACCTAAGGCCTGGTTAGTCCCGGGCAGGGTTCACTAAACACCTCATTCCTCCGGGTTGAGAAATTGCCACCAGATTTATCTCGGAATAGGTTACTCTCTGCAATCCCTCAAAATCAACCAAACCAAGCGGCAGCTACTTAGGGAATATCTTTTTCTAAATACGACAAGTTCGAAGACCTTTGTGGATGACTAATTCAAGGGAACGAAATGAATGCAAGCGATGGTAGGATTAGCATAGTAGATGTGAAAAAGGCTAGTATAAATAAGAAAACAAATATATACACACTTAAAACGGAATATAAATTTCTCATTTATAAAGTTACGAAGGCACGAACTCCCTTAATACTCCAGAAATCCAGAAGTTACTTTCAGTTGTTGAAAACCTAGTCACCATCGTTTTGTTTTAAAAAATTTATTTCCCCAATGAAGAACTCTCTGAAAACGGATCCTCTTACCTATTCATCTAGTCAAAGAAATTCACACAGCTTTCGAACTCCAATTTCTTCGAACACCAGTGTTTCCCAAAATGTATCAGTATTGCTACTTAGCTTGAAATTTCGGAATTCAACTATGGAACCGCAATTGATCTAGGACAAAACAACGACGATGCTGATATATTTGCAAAACTCTAGACTGCTGGTGTCGGCGGTGGAAAACGGATGTGCTATTACCCTTTCCGAGGGAAAACGCGTTCAGCACTACACCATTCTGGTCCTTCGTTTCGCCTGTTTCTCAGTCGTGTTATTGAGTTATAGGTGCTATCAGCAATTACCCGTAAACGGGATTGATCTAAGGAGCGCATATAGGCATTGAACCCAGTTAAGTTGAAGCTGTAGTATAGAGTACAATAAAGTAGTTATTATTTACTGCCTAACAGGCAGTAAATAAAAAGTACTACAATGACCTAGGATAAGTAGGTTGTGTAAAGAAAACTATTACAACGGACCTTGTCCTTAGTAATGGTATATATTACAACACCCCAACCAGACGCGGCGTCTCTCTCTAAGCAAGCAAGCATTGACTGAGCGGTGGCTTCGAACAACTCTTCAGGGTTCATATTTTCTCTCCAGAAGCCTAAATTTTTTTCTTTTGGAAAAACGAGACAATGGTTACCTTATAATTGCGGAATTAGCGATATCCTATTCTAAAAATGATGAAAGAAAATGAAAAGCGAAAAAAAAAACTGACTTTCACATACACCAAGCAGATATTCCTGTCCTGTACCAACGGCAACAAAATCATCAGGAGAAGCAATACATCCGATCGTATCCATACCACATATATACGGCTTGTTAGTGACCGGATCTAATCCAGCAACCAGAGGTTCAGTGAAAAATGAACCGAAGCGATGTTGATAAGCAAGATTCGAGATCATTGTAGCCAAAACCTATACAGCTAGTTTTACAAATTAACATCGGCACTGAAAAACACTTGCAAAACATGCAAACGATAACCATGCACCAACCGCTGGCTTTATTTTTCGGTTTTCTCGTAATTCGTACAACGTTTTCCTGAAGGTAATTTTCTCTAACACTGTTTTCGCGTCCGAGTTGAAACCAGCTAGTCCCACGTATACCTTGTCCGCAATTTTATGAACCTAAACATTCTTTAACATACAGAAACAGTTCAAAACACCGATGTATAACTTATGGTATAAGATAGAAAGCGTTTCAATTATGTTATTTTTATATCATAGACTTTAAGCTCGACTGTCCATTTGCAAGGAATAAACGATCCTTTTATGGAGTCACTTTATGTAATGAAAAAGCATACTATAAGACTAAGAAAAGGATATAAATTGAAACAACCGCTGAACAATTTCTGATATATTGCAAGATTTCATCGATTTCTTCATTCAGTTCATCATCTTACATCCTTGTATTCACGACGAGATTCGAATTTGCGGATATTTCAAGCTACCACTTGTGTATTACTTCATTAACGTCGTTAAATAGTAGTAGAGTTTGACACAGATGTGCTAGTGCCCTTGGTTGTTCACAACATGGCCCAGATGGAACCTTTACTAGGCAAGTCGGGTGTCAATCTCCTGATCCCAGAGGAATAGGCTGCTTTGTTTGCCCTAGTCAGGTTCCAATAATTATGCATTTTTGTACGAAAAGCTAGAAGGATGTCCCGTTCCACACAAGTAAAGAGAGCGACGAAATTCACTGTTTTGTTAAATCATAAACGTTGAATGACTACAAAAGGAAAACCATGGTGGTTAGCGGTAGAACCAGACTTGTTAGAGGGAACATTGGCGATAATCTAAGCATACAAGATTTTTGCAACTCAGGTGCGCAATTATGCTGACATTCATGCGAGAGCTGAAATAAACATGTGATGAAAATTCCGATTCCGATAAGTGCAGTGAATGAGACTACACGATTGTTTAATAAAGAACTACCACGTGTGTGACAAATATCACGAGACGAAGAAGCAAAGAAAACGGCAGAAAAAGAAATCACATGGTATACGAGGGATGTTCACGTCAGACTGGCTGGTAGTCGAAATCGAAGTCAAGAACCCTAAAGAGAAAACCGAGCAAGAATAGTCGCTCCAGTAACCTTGAAGGAACGCAAGGAAGGCACATGAGGACTAAATGGGAAGGAAATCCCCTATGTACTACTACAAAAAAGCCAAAATTGATGTCACACCTAAGAACAGTGGTACAAGCGATGGATTCCACGAATTTGAAAAACACCAAAACACCCAGTGTTACTATGTAAGGTGCTAGACAAGTGAGTAACGAACTTAACTTCTTTTGATCCACAGCCACCGTAGTCATTTGCTCTCCTATCCTCAAGTCTGAAGCAATACAAACGCATCTAGAAACAAAACTTCAAATTTGCAGATGAAAGTCAGATAAGAGAACACAGTCATCCATCATTATTCAATTCTATCGAGAATCTTATCGATGTTGCAATTCTTCAGGAAATATCGACACTGAAAGGGATCAACCTATCCACTTTTGGTCACGACAATGCACTCAGATATATTTAGTGCTATATACGAAACCGTAAACCATAATACATCCATTGTGGCAAAAAAGATTATTGAGGTGAAATAAAAAAAAACCCGGAACCTGGAAGAATAGTTTCCCCTGTAGTCATCTACTGATAAAATATGAAATGAATCCACCCACACTTAAATTTTATAACCTCTTTGCAGCTGCTTCAAAAGGTACACCTTACTTGGATACTTTGATGGCCTATATTTACTGGTTGTTCGAGCCCCAGCATCATCTTCAATCTTCGGAGTTTTACTTGTTTCGTCATTAAGGTTCCATGGAGTCTCGAGGTCAACCTTGCCAAAATCTTCCCCAGGTCGTCGCCACCACATGCATTCGTCGCCCTTGCTTCACAGGGACATTTGCCACCATGCGACAAGTGTGATACTACGACGGTGATGGGTCTTGGCATTACATTACTCTTAGCTGGGCTTCCTGATTGGAACGCCGAACTCCTTCTCAGCTTAGGAGACCCTACTGAGGAGATGAATCTCCCTAATGTACATCGCAGCCCGACATCCTGGAACACCTCTGAGCTACGATGAGGCGGTACACCGTTAGAAAATAAAAGTATATCAACTGATTAAAATAGACTGAGAGATTCTCAACGACTCTGCACTACCGTGACTATTTCTTCACGCCCCGCAAACGGTTGCTAAAATCACCGTTACTCCAAAAACTACTTCCATCTCGTGCTTGTACGTATGACTTCACAATTCTACTCTTCCAAACACAAAAATGAGAAGATATTCTCAAAACTTGGAACACGGGTCAGATCGAACCACGATTACTCCTGCCGATGGCCCGCGTATTATACACTGCACCACAGAAGTTCCTGTTTTGCGTTTCTCCCCGCTAGTTTTTTTTTTCTCTATTCTTTCAGTTATCACTCATACCCCTTCAAAAAAATCTTTCGAGACGAAAACGAACAGCAGAAAAGGCACACATACTCATTTCCAGCCATGGCGAGGATAGTTCCTCCATTATAGCTCATAATACTCATGGTGATGGATGGTTCGTAACTGGCTCTATATACACCTTAATATCAACTTGTATTCAGGAAAACAATAAAGTAATAAACAATACACTGTCCAAGAACACGAAACGACGCAAAATTCGACAGAAACCATTCATTTATCAAACGACGAACGGTGACGTCATTGCGGAAGGAAGAACAAAAGTAATTGTACAATAAAAATATCCTTATTACTGTGATAGAACTATAAATGAGTGAATGCAAAACACATTGAACTCCAAGAACTCCAATTACTACACATACATTAACAAGGAACTCAACAGCTTTGCTCCAAATGTACAAATGATGACAACTGATCATCGCTAACCAACCACGTCCGTCCATTAACCGTAAAAGTTCCGCAAATACACCAAATGACTGGACAGATGAACCATTGCACTAATCATAGGGGTTCATTGAACAACACGCTTGTAAGCTTCTTCAAATCAGCAATAGAGCTCACTATGAAGTTAAACAACGCAATAAACAAAACCAAAAGTTATGTGGGTAAAGTATGTCACCATAAAAACGAACTGTGAAACAGATCACTTCTGAAGCGATTCGTAGGCAATTGTTCAAAACTTCAAAATGTCGTACTAGAAGGCGAATCCTTTCATATGCACGCAGCACGTCTCAGTGGTCCCTGGAGAACACTAGCAAAATCATAAAAAGAAAAAGGCATAGTCGCCTATAGCAACTAACAGAAAAACTACTTTAAAAAGACAGCGAAGACAGCCATATAGTTAACGATAGAATTACAACGACTGCGCTTCTAAGTCCTACTATTATTCCTTGCTTAAATTACAACTCACTATATAATACTTAACAAAAAAAAGAAGTGAAAAGTAGGACAATGATAAGAACTCCTGTTTTCATAACGACGCAGTTCTTCCTTCACATCAGAACACAGCCACGGTTCTCCGAGCAGAAAACAGCTAGGGAACCATACGTGGAGCAGGAGGAGCGCATTTCTTAATATTTGGCGGTTCTGAGTGTGTCCATTTACGTGCCCGTGGGTGACGTTCGCGTAAGTGCGTTTCACTGTGTCGTCGAGGGCGTCGGGCACCTGGAAAAACTAGTCGCTCCAATCTAAACAGTTGGGAGTAGAATTAGAAGCAATTAAAGTAGATGCTGGAAAAACACACATGTTTACATACATATATATCTACATATAAACGATTAAACGATGTATTCTGAAATATAACCGGTAGAATAAATATCTAGTTGGGAAGCGAATCTCTGATCTTCGAAACTCATCTCATCTCCGAGATCCAGGCGAACACACATCCATAGAAACATAGATGGGCCGGTCTTATAGTGAGAAAAACAGACGATTGAAGGCTAATGGATGAAAAGAACTGTCGAGTGGACTCCATGATCATAAAGGCGTCCCCTAGGCCGACCACCTACACTTAAGGCAGACGTGTTTGTAACCAAAGTTTATCAGTTGTACTCTCAGGTGCAGTTGTTTTACAGGTAAAGGTATTAGACTCGAAACCATCACCATGCTTGAATAAAACCACCACCATAAACAACAACTGCGAGCGAAGAGAAGGAATAACAAATGTGGTAGTGTTCGCACATGCAGACAGACCGAACAAGCATCCAAGTACAAGTACATGCATATTTCATCCAAGTACAAGCAAATGCATATTTATCGAAACAATCTGTACAGGAGAATAATTCAAGGGTAAAGGTGCGAACAGCCATCATATGTAAAGAGAAGCTATAGCTTATTTTACACCACTTCTATGCAGTACGAGAGTTCGCTACTCGATCCTGATCAGGCCCTTCTCCGTATGAAGAGTGAATACAGCCGTTGGGATAAAAACACGCTGTTATCGTCCAAGGAGAAAATGACAAGTTATGCACGGCGAGCACATTCTGTGTGAACTTCTTCCCAATTTGTATGGCCAAACATTAACTATGGTTAAAGAAGTCTGCTGCCAAACTTCAATACCTGTCACTTGCCAAAACCGAAACGTTAACTGCTTTAACTTCTCTCAACTATGAAAAAGTATTTCCTAAATAACAAATGTAACTGACCACTACCTCAACTGCACCACGAAATTACCTTCTTCATAAAACCACCAATCCCCACATGATAAGCATTACTACAAGGCGACATGACTTGAAGGTGTTCACCAGCACTACAGTGGATAATGAAATAGCTTGATTGAGATGAAAAGGTTATACGCAAATTCGNAAAGTATTTCCTAAATAACAAATGTAACTGACCACTACCTCAACTGCACCAGGAAATTACCTTCTTCATAAAACCACCAATCCCCACATGATAAGCTACTACATTACTACAAGGCGACATGACTTGAAGGTGTTCACCAGCACTACAGTGGATAATGAAATAGCTTGATTGAGATGAAAAGGTTATACGCAAATTCGTATCGAATTTTGTTTGCTTATGGCATCTTCATTTCATCAAGCCGTACCAGCGAAGCAGACACAACGACTAAGAAGTTACATGAAGTAGGGAAAACTATAGAAACATTATAGTTTTTGGAGATTTTTCATGAATTGCCTAGATCTCAATTCATGAAAGTGGCGATAAGATAGGAAACAAATAGAGCAAATAAATGATTCCTCGGGCTTAGAAATCAAACACTGTTCACCTGGCGTGTTTAATGAAAATGGAACGAGATGAAGAAATGACTTAACATAAAAATACACAAAAAGTAGACCAGCATCGGCAACGGTCGCGTCTCCCAAAGTAACCACTAATTGATGGACCCAAAATTCCTCGTTTATTCGATTAAGAAGCTTCTTACCGAACGTCTAGGCTATACTACGCAGTTGACACGAAGATTAACACTTCAACCACGCCGAAAATCTTACGAACTTTTCGCAGAGCTCTTAACTGATAAAGCTGTATTTGCATCTGCAAACGTTACATAGGTAGACTGGCGCAATTATAGGAGATCCTGTCCAAGAATATAAGGCCTTACCCCATTCCTTCTCTGGTCCATCAAGCGCGCGATTTTACCAGAGGCGCGAAATTTGTACCAGACTTGTTTGAGAAATTCCTTCGGTATATAAAGGTCTGTAAATGCATACACTGAAGACCAAGGAACGCTAAACCGACGTCGTCACAGGATTCTGGACAGAATGCATTTGATCACTACTCAACGAAATTCATAAAAGCCGAAATTCTCAACCATTAGTTGGATTCAGACACAAATCCAAAAACCTTCGTAGACGATGGACGTGAAGAAATAAGCTAAATGAATTAACTGCTATGATCAGCAAAATATGTGGTATGGTCATGTAAAAATTTTGCATCACGGAATGATATTCGAACACGGTACCACATTCAAGCAGACTACAACCATAGTTGGTGATCGTGACAGAAGGAAACGAATGGAAACCGCTACTTAGGTAGATCAGCTGGGAAGATTTGTACATATGTATGCACATATGCCTACATATATGTATATATATACATATATATATTATATTCGTATTCACATTAATATAGAGACAAAGGGGAAGAGATCAACAGACAAAGTGGATAAATAAAGGAAAGGAAGCGTAAAATAAGTAAGGTCTCACGATCGATAATGGCGCCAGTTGTTTCAATACTAACGCCACGACCTTGTTGACGTTCGTATGCTTCCAAACGTCGCCATGTCTAGGAATTGTAAGAAAATAATTTAAACAGCAATATCTTAAGATGAAACTACTTTAACCTTACTACCATACCTGCAAATCACAAAGACTCCTTAAACGCTTGGTGATCTTCTCCCTCATAAAAGATACAGAGTGATCGAACCATGGATACAATTCATTCCAACGAACACCTTGTTGCAACATCTAACATTAAAAAAATGAATTTTGTTCATAGAATGCAACTCTAGGCACAAAAGGAAACCTTTGCAGTTGGTGGCTTGGTTAAAAATGCTTCAGCAAATTGCAGAAGGTAAAGCCCACAGTCAACGTAGTTTTCCTGGTGCGGAACACCTTGAGGATATAACGCACCGATACGTGTTCGATCGAGGTAAACCTCGCGATAAGAACCGCGCTTGTCGGCTAATTCGCATTCGAGATAGTCTCTCAAAATATCGAGCACACATTTCCTTAAAAGAAAAATAAAAAACATTCCCCTGAAAGAAAGGAATAAAAAACTTGAGGTATTCTTAACTGATTGAAATGGAAAGACATAAGAACAAAATCAAAACACAATGCTAAGAAAGAAAAACTACAGAAGTAGATTGTCATCGACCCTTTTTTTCTACGGAGTAGTAACAGCAGTATGTTATCTTTCTTTAATAAGCTCACACAAGGTTGATAAAAAATTTTTAATTCGACTAATGTTTCGACGTATTCGTATTCATCAGAGCAGATAATCCGAGTTGTTGGTCCAAAGTTGTTGGTCTTCTTAATGTTGCATCTTCGTCTTCGTATCGAACTAGACCTCAGTGAAGCAAAACTCGGTTTTGAAATATTGTTATGCTTCATACTAGCTGACAGTGATACCCACTTCTGAGGGTGGATTGTGCAGGAAAAACAAGTCGTTATCGCCGGACAATCACTGTTATCAACATTCATCGCCCTGTATAAAAGAGCATCGCCGGATGAAACTACCTCATTCGAGGCATGCTCTATTGAAGAAGATGCTACTCAATGTGAAGATGAAGACGCTACATCGAGAAAACGAACAACTGTGGACTATCGACTCCGATTGTCGGCTCTGATGAAGACGACGACGTCGAAACAACCGGATAAAAAATACTTATCAACCTCTTATAAGCTTATCAAAAAAGACTACATATTAATTTATCATACAGAGGTTAAAGGAAAGTTGGTTTTGAAATAGCAACAATAAAGTTTTCAAAATATTTCAATGTAACCTCTTCACATCATGAGGATCTGGTAACGAGTCCAGAACCACAGCAAAAGTATCAGGATTGATCCTGAACGACCCTCGCTTTCGTGCTTGTTCAACATCCTCTGATCGTTTTGTAACTACAGCCAATGAAGGTTTCACGATGATTACGAGATACCTGTAAATCCTCATTGAAAAAATGATAGAACAGAATTTAAAAATACAGGAAACATTATAGAAATTTTACGGTCAAACAAAAAATTTTTCAATTTAGTGCTTCATACCACATGGTGAAGGGGTGTGTGTGACGCAATGGTCGGAGACGTCCTGCTAAACACATGGGATCGAACCCAGTGCCCCAGGCTCGCCAAGTCTTTCATCCCGCAAATTGGTACCAGACTTGCATGAGAGGATAACAGCACTGGCTCGATACATCGCTATGCTACCGCGAGTCATTTTAAATACCAGATATGCATTCAATGACCTTCAAACGATGCTTAATGGAGCCAAATATATGGCGTATCCCTCAAGGAACGATCAACGCCAACTGATTTATCCGTTCTTTTATTATATCATAGGGTTCAAAAAACACGCATAAAACAACTTCGAGATTAAATCAACACAGATGAGAACTAGGAAAGGCAGATGAGCAATCTACATTAAGAAAAATCTCCAATAAAAGGTATCTCAATAGAGATGAATTATGATCAAGCAATATAACAAAAAACTTAGGTTGCAGAGCTTACGCTAATAAACTAACGGAAATGTAAGGCTATAACAAGGAATATGTTGTAAAAAGAAAATCGCAAATGTAACAAACCAGTGCATTTCATCATTAATTGGCAGAACAAGGTAATCCATGTTAAAAATATCCACTTTCTTTGTCCACGTCTTTATGTTAGCAAAGTTTCGTTTTATCTGAAATAAACGCTTTATCAGCTAAGACTAACTAAAGGCGGAGGTAGCAACATACCCACTCAAAGCGACCAATAGAACTACGCTGGTTCTTGTTCAAAATTGATATTGAAGGCTGCTTATCCGTCAGCTTTTTATAGAAGAACGAATTGAATACAAAAACCTTGTCCCGACTGGAATAGCCATATTGATCAAAGGTAGTGTTTTTACAGTCCATGCAAAAAAAACCTACCACTCCTGGCGTACAAGTCTAGCGCAAATGTATTTCAGGTAGAACTCTATGATATTGTCGTTCAGCATTTCTCCATGAGCCAAAACCCGTAAATCTTCAAAGTGAACTGAAAACTTCTCAATTACAACTGTTTAGGGTTAAGATGGAATAAGCAATCAGCTTAAGAAGCCTAAAGGCAACCTAACTTTAGGAAAAAAAAGAAAAAACAAGTAAAGCAAAGCGTATGTAGATTAACTCACGTGAAACGGCACCACATTCACCAGGTGGAAAAACCAAGAGGACCTCATCAGGAATAAAGCCATCTATTCGCAACCGCTTTTCAGGCGGTTCATTAGTACGCCGACTAATTACTCCATTCTCACCTATTTCATAAGAATTCGCTGACGACACAGCTTCCGTTTCGGATATCTATGTAGCACGTTGATTAGTCATTGCTCTTATTTAATGTCATGTTATATATAATACCTCAACGTCGTCGTCAATAGCAATTGTTTCAACTTCTTTCCTTAAACGAGTACTCGAACGCACTGGCCGCCTTCCAGGAGAGAAGGTTGTAGGTCCAGCTCCAAAATTCATCATTCTGTCGGCGTTTATTTGATTCAGTAGTAGTACTCTTGAGTCCAGCTAAAGAAATAAATGAAGCTGCAGAAATCAGTAGAGGAAGTGGAAAAATGAGAGGTAAAACAAACGGTTGATCGATACCACTTACTTTAGGATTATCAGGAACAAATTGAGCTAAAAGCGATGACTGTTGGCCCGTAGGTGTTACTTGGTAAACTACTGGAGATCCTTGTTGTGACTGCATGATCACATGCTGAGTGCGAAGTGTAGCACCCAACGCCGTTGTACCTCCAACGTATTGTGAGTGCGTAGGTTGAACTTTGACTATTGTTCCCTGCTTTACAGGATGCCACTGTGTTGATTGTACTGTTTCTGGGGATTGCTGGACAATGAACTGCTCATTATCTTCGATAATACACCGCTGTAACATAATAGTTCAATGAATTACTGTCTTGAAGGTCTTATCTCATGGAAAAATTTGACATGAATGGATAGAATGCGTGATAGAAAGATTTTTGGTGATGCGTTCGAAGCAGAAAAATGTTCTTCAAAGAAACAAAACTGCTGTAAATCGCAAACTTACCGAAGCATTGCCGGCGATGTTTCGACTGTGCATTGGAACAATATGAGCGGTGTGTTGTTTCGCGGTATCTAACTGCACAAACTCAAAATCCTGAAAGCTTTCCTCTTTAAATGGCAAACTGAAATCTCAACGAATACTAAAACAGTATCTGGATAGGTTTCTACAAAGTTAAAACCTAACATTTACATACTGGTCGTACTTTTCTCCACGTGCATTGCTTGACAGGTCAGTGCAGCCACTAAAAATAACTTCATCACACGCATGGATTCTGTTCTATCCCTTACAGCTCCTTACTATCAACCTCATGTAATAAAAAAGTAAAGAATACTTACTGCGGATAAGAATTTTCGAGGGCGTTTTGTGGACTTCGCCTCAACCTTGTATTCAATTCTGAAACTTGGTCAGTTTCTTCGGTTATAGATGGATGATGCCTACTGAGAAGTTTCGGGATCCCTAAAGTTTTCGGAATTCCTGTAAACAACAAATCTTCAGATAGGGGATACACGTACTGAGGCGAGGGGCGTGGATCGGACGTGGCTCTGGAGGCCTACATCGGTACGGCACCGTATCCGCATCACTATCACAGTTCTCAAATAAATGAATTGACCGAAGCAGTTCAAACCATTGCTGGGTAGTGGATCGAACTAAAACATGGTGATGAACACGCGACATGGAATGTACAGCCTTGCTGACAAAATTAACCAGATTATGAAGAATGTCAACTATGGAAGAAACTGGACTTTCTACTTGTTCCTTCATACCTGCTGATTACTGTACCCAGTGAATACAAACCAACAACCTTAGAAACCCAAAAATCCATATCCCTTTCCAGGATATATTGAAATTATGACCATAGAACACATAAGACTACTGTTGACATGGCCTTTATATCCATCCGCTTTATCCTTATCTTTGGAAACGTCCCAAATATTATGCTAATGAGGCAAATAGTCCATCACTGGTTACCCAGAGTTTTCAATAGGACAATCTACCGCCTTGAATGAAATATTAAAAAATGCCGTCAATTTTCATTTCCTGCCTACTATTTTTTAACGCTGGCGAGTGATTGCTGATAGCATCTATAGGTCAACAACGCAGTTGAGATACAGGCGAAACGAAGGATTCGCATGGTGTGGTGGTGAACGCGTTAGCCTCCGGAAAGTGTAACAGCGCGTTCGTTTCCCACCGCAGACAGCTATGGTCAGAAGCCTTGCAAATATCTCAGCATCATTATGCTTATAAAAGAAAATATCGCACAAAACGCTGTAATGACGACGGAACAATCATAGAACAGCAGACTAGAGAAACGACGAAAGCAAAAAAACTCCACTAATAAGAACACTAACTAAAGAAATTAGCAGAATTCGTTAAAACGGGTGCACAACTATTCTTCACAGCCAGACGTTGCTCTTTCGCTAGCAGATCTTTGTCGCGTACGAACCGAACCTAGAATAAGAACCGAAATAGCTTGAAGAAACAATAGGTTATGACAGAAAAACTAACCCAAACATTAAGACGATCGCAGAGCTCATCGATCCCGCCATAACACGGTTCAACTGGGTCACCATGTTGCATGAAAAAATGGTCTTTATAGGGGCGCAGAACAAAAATCAGTGTCCTGAAGACATATTTCCTAATACTTCATCGAACGCTCGTTGTAGTAAAACCGGCAGAAAAACTGTTACTTGAAAGCTAAATCGCCACTTTCTCCGAACCCTCCCATGATATGTTCAATTTTCTCTCGAGTGCCAAGTCGAGCAGGCAAAGCCCTTGCAGCAAAGTCGGACAGATGGAAGGCAATAGACGGCTTCCTACCACTACTCAGCACCTGAAATGTTAAATTTAAGCACCCGATTCTAAAATTACGAAAAAAAAAGAGCACCTACTGCCATTTTCTTGAAACGAACGCATAAGTATTAAACAGATGGTACGATATCTAACATGATATTTCGACTAAGGAGAAGAAAAACAACAAACCAGAACTCTTTCGATGTGAACAAACGGTATTTCTACGATGCTCCTTTCGCCAGTCGTAGTGTAAAGATGCGCTACCATGAACCCGCGGTTCTAAATAATCGTACTAAGTAGACATCTAGTAGAAACCGCTAAGTTCACAAAACAGGTACTTAACAACTGTTTAACAAACCCTTGTTCCGCTTGTACGAAATGTTACACCTCCACCACGAAGAGGATGCTTTAAATCCACAGGACCGTGAAGAACTTGCAGTGAGGAGAACTGTAAGAGATGTGTACCCTTCAAACGAACCAAGGATTAATAAGCACACTTACGCTAAAGAAGTTGGTACTGTCCTGAATAGGTTCGAAAAGGGTCATCCTCTAGAGCTTTAAGCCGACAGCGAAAGAAAAGACGGAAACATTAAAGCTGGGGCGCTCAGGCTAGAACCACGAACTTTCAGAAACTTAATGAATGGTCACCAATAGCTGTAGCCAGGAAGAACAGAGAATACAGCTCGAGATCCCATCCAGCTCAAAGCCTCGCTGGGAGTGTTGAGTTTCGAAACTGGGGAAAAGCGTCCCAATCGCAGTTTCTCCCATTGTGTCCTTTAAAACAGCAAATTTGAATTCAAGCGCGATTTCTGCCGCTCCAATGCGAACGTGGGTTTGTTGCCGAGATCGATCGATTGCTTGCAAGCTTCGCATGGTAACAAATTAGGTTTATGTCTTGCTGTTGTTAAGCTTAGAAATACGGACACAGGTGGCACAGTGGTTTCAGGTGCCATTTGTTGCATCACAGTCATTGGTTCAGTTCTTCGGCCTAATTAAGCAAGCCCGTATTACTCCGATTTCAGTGGAAGGCTTGTAGAGCTTGAGAGAACTGAATTTGCAGGTGATTCTTGCCAATATCGTTTTCTTCAAAGGCTCGTGTGGCTCAGTGGTGGGAGACGTCTTGCGATGTACATATAGGATAGATCCCCGCCTCCCTGGCCTAGCAAGTCTTCCATCCCTCCGGTGTTGGAAAATTGGTACCAGACTTGTTCGGAAGAATAGCAGCACTGGGTCGATACATCGGTAGGCAACTGCGAGTCATTGTAAAGGCGAGATATGCATTCGATCACCTCCGAACGATGATTAATGAAGTCGAATGCATGGAGCATCCCTAAGGGGTTGAATAAAATGGTATTCCATCTTTTTCATTTCCACTTCGAACACCAAACCAACTAAATAGAAGGACTTCGCTTAACAGAACACCACGATATACGTTCCCGTACTGTTTGTGTTTGTGGTTCTCGCACTTGTGCTGGAAATTTCAAAAACTTACACTGTTTAAGTATTTCCCAACTACATGGATACTTGGACACTGGGACGGCCCGTCTTCACTAGTTGTACGAGCTCCACCAGAATCTCCATTTTTCAGGTTTTCCACTTTTTTGGAGACTTGCCGGTTAAGCCATTGTGGCTCTCTGGGATACCGAAATCAGTCTGACCAAAGCCTGCCCTATTTTTCCCAAGCACCCCTTTCTATTAACCTCGGCTCTGTTCAATAATTCGCTGTTGTCTTGATAAGCACACAGGAGGCTGTTACTTGCTTTTTACTCACAGAAAAGTCGACTTTTCGAAGATTTTACCTTCCTCAGAGCCTGAAAAAGTCGGGTCTACTGTAGTCGTTTTCCATAGTTCGTTAGTAGTTCAAACAACCAGTACGTTAATGAGTGGATTAATCCTGGAGGAAAAAAATTTGGTAAATAAGTACAGCTGGTCATGATTCTCGGTTTGGTGTTCATAAAATGTTGTCTCAGTTTGAGAACTGAGGTGGTATTTGGATTCTTAAAGTCAAAGGATTTTCGTAATATTTAGAACATTTAGAGACAGGCGAAATGAA